GTTCCTGACAACTGAGCAGTGTATATAACCTGTACAAGAGCCTCTACACTCCATTGATCATGTGTCTTCACCTGGATTCTCTAGAACCTGTACAGTTTAGGATCACACTGCCAGCAGTTGCTTCTTTGGGTCCTCCTGTTTTGTTCACGACATGGCCTTTGCATATGTCCTCCAGAGGTACGTGTATTTAAATTCAATCCCCATTGAATTGATCTATGGCATCTAGAAGCGATACCTTTGTAAAAAGATATCTTGATCTGGCCAAGAGGATGAAGCCCCCATGACAGCTTTATAAGGAAAGGAAAGATGCCAGAGTACACGTATACTTGCTCCCCTTGTCTCCTCGGACACGTTAGCACTTTGCATGTATGAAGGTGATCAACAGATGCCCCTTGAGCACCAAGAACTGTGAGATGGATAAACTTCTCTTCTTTGTAAACACACTAAGCCTCAGATATTTCATTACAGTGATGCAAAATAGACTGATAGACTCGCCTGTGTTAGAGAGGAGACATCTATTCCTCTAAATTATTATACAAGCACAGAGGTTGCAAGTCTCAAACCTTCCCCAATCTCCTTTGAAACAACATAGAGAAGGGTTATGAGGACAGGCTCTGAGTCATGCTGCCTGGGATGGCATCCTAGCCCAAGCCTTTCCATCTGTAAGGAGATATAATGGTATACACCTCAGATTTACTATCTTAGAGTTCTAGACATCAGAAGTCTACAAAGGGTCAGAGGAGCTAAATTTCTTCTGCATGCTCTGGGGACAGACCCTCTGTCTGCTTTCCAGCTTCCAGTGGCCGCATCCTGTGGCTGTAACTCTGAGGTCTCTGCTTTGGCTGCTTCTGCTGTGCTAGGGATTCTCCCTTCGTCTTATAAGGACTTTTGTAGTTACACAATAGCAACCAAATCATACTACATCTTCTTTCCATTTCAAACCCTTTAGTTCAGCTACACACATACACCACCCCGCTTTTTTTTAAGGCTCTGTTAGCTTATAAAGTGATTTGTAAGGAATATATAAGGAACCAGGTGTAAGCCTCTTTGGAGGGATATTATTTTGCTTCACAAGACAAGCTAAAAAAAAAAGAACTGGTGACTTCAGGTTGTTTAAAGCAATGCTATCCTATCAAAGTGATCCTGCCTTTAAAGGGTATTTGGTAACATACAAGGAATTTCTTTGGTTATTGTAATGGTATGGTAGAACTTGATGCTGAGCATCTAGTGGCTAGAAACTGGGGATGGTACTCAGCATTTGAGAATGCCAGTATTCTCTGGTAAGAGCTATCCATCCCAAAATGTCAGCAATGATGAGGTTGAGAAACTTTGATTTAAAGCATATGATTTTGGGGGAAATCTTTTGAGTTAGGAAGGGTTATAATGCAAGAAAAAAGTCAGTTCCAGAATTTAGAATTATGTAAGAAGTCTAAAGAATCACACGAAAGCTCTGTCTCTCTTAAGTTTTTGACACTTCTAAATGTCTCATAAATGATAAATGACATGCCTTTATACTAGAATTTCCAGCCTTGTCTTAACTTGTTACTTGTTGAGTAGTATTTGTTTTATTGGAATCTGGCCAACCCCATGAACTCATCAAGTTAAAAGATGCATTGTAAACATTACTTTATGTGTGTTATAAAATCACAGATGCTCAGACCCAAAATATATAAGCCACATAGACCTCAGTAATCAGTTTTTTGTCTTGGTGTGACTTCCCTTATATTCCTGGAAGGACACTTGCTAGGAAGTTCCTGTCCACTGGGAGAAAAATTGGAATCCACTTTCAACTAAAGTAAGCATCATACCTATGATGGGGAATGGTCTTCTGCATATATGTTTGTCTTATTGGTTGCTAAATAAAGCACTGTTGGCAAATAGGGAAACAAGATGGGTGGAACTAGGAGAGGTGGAAGATTCTGAGAAACGGAGGCACAGTCAGTCACGATGTAGGACTCGAGAGGAATAAGAGGTCTGGACCCTTTCTCCCATAAGAGAAGACCACGTGGAAATACTCAGATTAGCAGCTATGGGTTAATAATTAAGTCAGAGCTAGCCGACAAAAACCCTAGCAAATGGCCAACAGCTTCATAATCAATACGGCGTCCTGCGTGTTCATTTGGGACCGATGCGGCTCTGAGACCAGGCTGGCAGGGAGAATGCTCGCTGCACACCTACTTCTCCAATGCTCAAGAATTTCTGTGCTTGGGTTTAAGCTTTTCCAGTCATTTAATGTGACTGTAAAATTGCTACTCAGATACTCCACTGTTTTCAACGTTATTTCTTCCCATCTTCCTTCTCTCCATCTATCCTGCTCTCCTCATTCTTCTGTATTAACTCCCTCAAGTCAAAGACTTTCTGTAGAGTTTTCTTTGTCTGACACAACTTCTAAAGGAATGTGTCTTTTCAGTGACAGAAATATTTCTAAGCCAATATGGACCCTTCCAGCCCCCTTCCTCTCCCCGGCCTTTCTCTCTGTGTGTGAGTCTGTATATCTCTCTGTGCATGTATAAGACGATGGGAGAGAGGAGGACGAACATGCTGGTCCTTGAGGCGAGGTGCCTGCCGTCCTCATCTTTATCCCTAGGGGAAAATAGTGGCTCTGGATCTGAATCAAGTGTCCTAATGGCTTGTAGACCAACCGAGCAAAGTGATGAGAAGCCCAGCTGTGCCAGCCACAGAGGCTGATCCTGCCGCACACGTGTCTGTGCCAAGGTAATGCTCTTAAAACGCTTTACACTTGCCATGAGTTTTAGGCTATAACTAAAGAATAAAGGTTAAATAAATCGTGGCACTTGGTACTTGCCAAACATTACTTAAAAGCCACATTGCTAAATATCAAGTCACAGGGAAGGTTTCAGGCACCCAGGGTCAACTTCACGAGGTGCGTACTACTATGAGAATATGCCGGATCCCTGAGGGTTAATCCCCTACACAAGTTTATAAGCATCTGCCTGTGTAGTCAGAGAATCCAGTTTCTTCAAAAGCAACACACACAGAAGAAGAGTTGATAGAAGAGAACAGAAAACCTGTAGATTAAGAGATTTAAGGGACATCTCGAGCGCACCAAGGACAGAGGAGCTAACCATTACAGGTCAGAATGGAACTGTAAGTTTCTCAAAACGGGAGCATATGGCAGGCAGGACAAACTTGGCAGAGGGAGAGGAGTAACGAGACCCAGGGAAGAAGGAAATGGCAATTTCAGCAGCCTTAGCTCATATTAACTTCACTGCAGTGACCCTAGGCATCTCCCAATCAGTGTGTCTATATAGTCATTTCCCCGGGGGAATAAAGACATGCCGTGTTTCTGGGTTAAAACCACTGGACAGGAAAGTACACGCTGTTAAGTTCAAGAGCAAATGGCTGTAATCCAACCTATAAGCAGGTCTTTCTTAAGCTCTCTGTGTCAAACGTCGTGATGGAGGGCGCATGACTATTACGACGGACGCCGAGAGCAAAATACCTATTTAAAAAGCAATGCGGACAGCCAAGGGGCATACGCTCAGCACATTAGAGCACAGCCTAGAACCCGAAGGTGATTTCCTATCATTATCTAGCAAAGTTTAAAGAATAACAGAACAATCAGATAGGAACACATCCAACTGCCAAAGGTTAAAGAGCGTATCCTAGGGTGTTGTACCCAGATGCGTCTTCCTCCTCCTTGTAGAAGCTGTTTTGTGACAGCGCAGCGATTGCTGTGACTTAACTGTCTGCATGTGTTTCTGTTCTCTCCCTTTTATTTTCCTTCTACTCTAATTATGAATGTCTTCTTAGATCCAGCCCCTGTACCCACTCTTTTCTTCTTTTGGAAACTCAAAGGGTTCCAAGGTTCCCGCTGTCACCTACAAACTGAGAGGCTCCCAACCAAACACCTGATTCTGGGACCCCACGCGTGACACCCCACCTGCAGGCTAGACATGGCTTACAACGCACATCGACAAATTCTGTCTCCTTGCTTCTGTACTCCCGTGACACTGGACACCATCCTGCCCCCAAAAAAACCAAATTCCAAAGTCCTTTGGATTCCAACGACATGGTATCACTATAACTCATCCATCATTTCAACAACTCCCCTGCCTCACTCACCCAGCGCACCCTCGGCCCCTGTCCCAGCGCCACACCAGGTTTAAACACAGACCAAGCCCAGCAGCTCACACGCCCGCCTTGCTGGGGACATCTCCCACTTGCTCTCCCCTCTCACATGACTGCTTCCCACTCGGTCCACTCAGAAGCATCCCTCAACTGCTGTTGCCCAATGACTCCATCGCTTCTCACCGCCAAAGACTACCCACGGATTTTTCCAAAGCTTTGCGGGAAGTGCCCCTACCTATCGAGTTACATTTTCGCTGCTTTTCAAGAACATGATGTTTTTCCCCTTTCTTTCCATTTTTTAAAAATGCTACTGATTATATCTAAGGCCGGATACGGGCCAAACGCTCTACCACCAAGTTGCGTCTTCCATTCCACGTGATTTATTTTATTTTCTTCCTTCTTGTTTGTACTTTCCTCTTCTATACGTCCCACTCCCCCCAAAAAAAAAATCTTGTCTCACTTCACTCCAATGCCCTCCTCACACCTTTACTTTTCTGTCTCTGCCTCTGTCTCTGTCTCTGTCTCTGTCTCTCTCTGTCTCTGTCTCTGTCTCTCTCTCTCACATGAAGGACATGTCATTCTTGACTCTCTCATGACTAACATGTCATTCTTTCCTTTTCATGCCCCTCTAATGATTTATATGCCTACTCACAAGCTCACCATTCAGGTGTTCGTTTTCCTAACTACCTAGTAAGCTCCACCAAAAACATATAATTTGCTATCATCTTAGAGTAGTGATGGTTTTCTCAAAGAGCTTCAGTTGATTAATTAACTAGTTAAATGCTTTTTGCTGTGTTAAGTTTAATGAGCAGGCATGTGAGCAGAGCAAACACAGACACCTCCGTTAACATTTGCTTCCAAGTGTTGTATATTAACTATAAACTAGTAAATGAAAAGCAGCTTCTTACCTGATTTTATGCAGTCTGATGATTTGCAAATGCCATCTAGAAGAAGGAGAGTATATGTAGAAATATTGGTAATAAAACTGTGCAGCTTATGTTTACCTTTTGGTTATTAAAAACATATGCCGATTAAATAAATAGAACATTAAATATTACATACCATTTTTATTACTTAAAAACTAACAGAAGAACACAAAGGAAAATGCTGAATTTAAGGACGACTACAGAGAGAAAGTGTGCTATTATACCACATTCACCAGCTAAACTCTGGGAATATTAAATTAAAACAGCTGAATGCTTCATTCATCATGCTGTAATCATGTTTTTCCATTAAGGAGCCAGTCTTTACTAATCCCTATTGTGAAAAACTTCCAAGACTCAAATTAGACTTCTTAGACTCCTGTGAAGCCTTTTAGGATTTCAGTGACACAACAGACATTGATTAATGGCTATTGCTGAGGTTTGACATAAAACTGTGTATGTTTTAATCAAATAAAATTATACAGGTCTCACACACATAGAAATACTCAACGCACTTGACATTTAACAGCTCAGCTCACACATACGGACATGGGGCCTTACTCTAAGCTATTGTCTGACATACAAATGCTGCATCTTCTACGTGAATCTGCACACCATGCAAGCGTGTCTCGGCGTGTGGTAATCGCATAGGAGGGAGGCTCCGTTCCCTTTGGCACTGGTTTCCGTGTGGGTGGGGATGGCACTCACCATCATAGGTTGCATAGAGAGCGATCATTGTCACTGCTATGATGGTCAGGAGTAAGACAAGGACAGAGAGGCTGATCTCCAGTGGAGTCCATCGCTGTTTCTTCTTTGGCTTTGGAGTATTGATGTCAGTTATATCCATCTGACTTTCTGATCTTCCCATCACCTAAAATCTGTAAAACATACATGTAGATATAAAACGCCATAAGTAGATATAAAGAAAAATCATATGTACATATGTACACAGTTGATGTGGCTATAAGAAAGGAAGAGGTCAATTTATTTTAAATTAGAAAACAAACTGTTTGGAGTAAGTCAAAATATTAAAGCTGAAAGCAAGAAATATAAAAAATGTACATACATACATACATACATACATACATATGAATCTGGTCCCAGGTTCAAGCAACTTTTTATACTTTTTTATGCACATACACACACAGAGAGAGAGAGAGAGAGAGAGAGAGAAAGAGAGAGATATGCACCTGCAAGTGTTTTTTTTAAATGAATGTACATATGTACCTATCACTATAGATCCCAGAAAGAGAGTTGATTAAATACTTACTTCTGAGGTTCATGAACAAATAATTGCTGTACCATAATTAAGAAAGTTTTAAACTCATCCTTGTGAACTTTGGCCTGTCAAAGGTTAACTCCATATCTTGTTCCAATGGTTTCTTTTATAAGCAAAAAAAAAAAAAATCATTGACTAATTCCTTGAGGTTTTGACTAAACAGTAACATAAAATGCAAATACAGCTGAAAAGCAAAAGGAATAAACACTTGGAGTGCTTTATTTTACTTTGAAAACAACTTGTATGTCTAAAGTTCAAAATTACTTCCCCTACAGATAAGGGTATCTGTTAACTGGTTAGACAGCATTCTGAAAATGGTCACCCAATGGATAACAAGCGGCTTACATTTCAGGATGAAAGACAATTACCATATCAGTAATTTCATTTTGTGCAATGGAAAGAAAAAAAAACCAAACACGATTAAATAAATTCTCCTTTGGAGGTCAGGGTGTCACTTGTTAAACATATAGTTGACTTGTAATTAAGTTAAAAATATCAACACTTCTTTCTAACTATAGCTTCTGGAGTTCTTCCCAGGTGGCAGGTACGAGTCCTCGCGTCTCAAACATGTTGCTTGTTAATCTCTGCAGAGTGGATGCTAATACTCCACTTTTATGAGTTCGGGAAAGAACGCCTCAAACAAAGGGTTAGCTTTTTATGACTCAGTGCAAATTAACCATAGAATTTGGCTCTTAGATGAAGCAGTTTCCCATGCACTCATCGGCAAAGACTTTACGTGAGCAGCACTCCGTAGAAACTGAGGCACTTAAAGTGGAGTGACATAAGCAGAAAGTGACTAAATCCGAAGTGTCCTAGGGGAGACTCAGTGGGACGAGTAAGGGGTTTGTTTTCTTTAGTTTCTTATCAATAATAAACCACTATGGACATTAAGGGGCTGCATACAAATTTCTTGAGCGGTTTGTCCTCCTGATGACACGACGTTATAAGCAAGTACTGTCAAATAAAAATACTTTACTGGACAATGAAAACCTTGTCTGTTCAATAACGGTGGAATGTAATGTACCTGAGTGTTGAAATGTCTTATTTAATGGTTATGTAACTCGTGTTAGCTTAGCCTCGGGGCTCCTGGGGTGATGATATAGAATTGCATCGATCATATCACTATTTTAATAGTAGTGGTGGCTGGGCAAAGAAAAGACAGATACAGATTTAATACTTTGACTCTTAACGGAGAAGAAAACCTAAGGAGCAGTTTCCTCAGAACCCCTAGAATACTGGGATATTAATCACATCTGCTTATAGATTCCTCTTGAACGTGCCCCCACTGCCCTTAAAGGTTCTGCTGCCATAAGCGGCTGCTTTTTGTTTGTTTGTTTACTTGTTTTGCCTTTTTGCTATTGCTGCTGCTGTTTATTTTTGTTTTTGTCCTTTCTGGAAGCCTCAATCAGCTCCAGGGAGTCGGTAAAGTGGAGCTCAGAGTCAGAGCAGGCACTCCTTTATGGTCAAAGTGCTCTCTGGCGCCACCGAGCTTCCTGGTGGGGGAAAGCTAGTAGTCGGGCATTTCTTTCTCAGTTCTGGGTTACTGCTCACTGGCCCCTTTCATATCCTTGATCAGGGTGGGAAAGTAACTGAGTTCTTTAAGAGTTAGGCACCTAAGGCTGCAGGAATAGTTACAGGGAAATTAATAGATGATGTAAACAGGCTACTTAGACCTTTTACCTGCATCAGGGGGTTTAAAACCATCTTTGAATCAAACCTCTTTCTTTATCTACCAGAGAAGTTGTTGTTAAATATTTTGCAAGTTTTTCAGAAAAGTCCTCTTTCTCTCTTAATAATACTTTTCAGCGTTGTTCAAACACAGAAATGCTGCAACTTTAACTTCCTAATTAACTTTGTCATTCATTCCCAGTTAATTCTAGATGACGCACTATCTTTTTACAAGGACACCTGGGCCAGAATACATCGAGTGGAAAGCATCACAAATCTTCAGTTACCTAAAGAGCCCATCTAACTACACCCAAACACCTTTAAAATATAGGATGAAAGAGACAGGCAGACCAGAACACAAAACGCAGTGCAAAGTCAACACTTGTAGTAGAACATGTAAAAAGCATACCTAAGTTCTTAAAATATGTCCACTGCCCTGGAGTTACACTAAAACCCTTAAACTAAAAAGCAAACACCAACAAAGCAATAAGGGACCAGAGAACCTGGAGTTCACACTCAACAGAAACCCCGCAAATTTCAGCGTGGCAACAATCAGCAAAAGAATACAATGTTATTTTTGCTTGAGTATGAGATGCATTTCAAAGCATCAGCAAACCGTGAAATCGTGAACCATAACTGACCGGCTAAAGAGAAAGGAGGAGCCAAGCAATTCTCATCTCCAGGGCACATTAGGATATCATTACAGTGCTTATGTGTGCTAAGTCCCAGCGGTGGTGCTTTGGAATTACAGTGTGCATTAGTGGAAACCGAGGCAGAGTAAGGAGGAACCAGTTTCATAGTTAGACGGTGTCTGTGGAAGCTGAAAAGAAAGGAGTATTCAGAAGGAAGTGTGTTTCCCAGGACATTAACTAGTAGGTGAGTTATGAAAAGTCCCATCCACAATGCTCTCATGGACAGTGTAGACATACAACCAAAGACACACAACATAGCATCCAAAATATGGCCAAACATTTTTAGAGCTTAAAGGAAACAAACAAAAAAAAAAAAAAAGGAAAGAAAAAAATCCAAGAAAGTGCAACTACGTTCCCTCATGGCCAATCTGCAGCTTCCCAACGCTGACGCTGCAAATCAGTTACTACTTTTCAGTTTAACAAGAACCATGCGAACCCGCTTATGAACAAGGTATAGACTTGGCCAAGAAGCTCGGCGGAATACCCGGTTACAGTTACTCCTATTTTTAAAGACTACGAATAGATCCGGAGAGGTTAAAGCAAGAAAGGGTCTTTAAAAACTTCCATCTACAGAAGAACGCTCCCCACCCCGCGAGCGCGCCAGCCAACCCTTTGGGAGGTTTAAGCATGAATTATATAATAGGAAGCCAAGGTTTAAAGCACGATATAGAGATGGGATCCGGGAGAGACATTTAGGTTAAGAGAATGAAAAAAAAAAAAACTAGAAAAGTGAGTTAATTGAGGGGAGAGAACCCGATAGAAACTAAAATGAAAACAAACCTTGCTTTTTAAAAATAGAAATAAAAAACCAGTGTCTGTACAGCGGAATGGCCAGTTCCCAGCCCCCAAATCAACCCCGGTGCAATTGGGTAGCGCTGCTCTCGGTCACCAAACATAACTCCCAGGCGCAGGCTGCGGGGAGCTGTGAAAATGAACCTGGAGGTGACCTGACATCACTCACAGGGCCCTCCTCCAGGTCGCCCTGTCGGTCCCTTCCCCTCCCCACAGTCTCAGGTCCCAGTAGCGGCTCCCGCCCAGGACACGCCTCCTCCGCCCGCGGCTGTGGCCAGGCTCCGGGCGCCCGCTCCGCGCGGGACCTCCGGCCTCGGTCCCTGCTGCGCGCGTCCCCGGCCCCCGCCCACTCCGTCCTCCTGTTGCCCGTCCCACGGGCTCCCGACGCCCCCCCCCCCGGGGGGTGGGGACCCTGGTGCCGGGTGGCTCGCTCTCCGGTGACTCACCAGTGAGATCGGGGAGAAGTTGGAGGCTGCTGAGCAGACACATCCCGACCAATGAGCGCGCCGGCCGGCCGGCCGGGGTGGCGGCAGGCGGGCGGGCAGGCTAGCCCCCAAGCCCGGGAGAGCACCCACCACTCGGTGCGTCCCCAGGGTGCGCCCGAGCACCGGGCGCTCGGAGGAGCCGACGAGGCCGGAGTCGCGGGAGGTTCCAGGCCCCGCTAGAGCTCGGGGCGGGAGGGCACCGGGGCAGCCCTCATCCCTCGGACCCTCAACCCCGAGCGAGACTCACCCCTCGCCGCCGTGGCCGCTCAGCAGCTCACGCCTGCACTCGGTCCAGCTTCGCCCCTGGCACATCTCCGCGCCCCGCGCGCCTCGCGCTCACCCCCCGCCTCGCCGCACAGGACCAGCCGCGAGAGCAGTTCCTTGGTTGACCTGAAGGTTTCCGCCAGGTCTCCCAAATCCTAGCACACCACTGTAAAAGGGGCGGAGGGGGCTTCCCCTCCCAGTCAGTCCCCCACCTTGCCCTTCCCAAAAGGGCTTTGCCAGACATTCTTGGAATTGTTTAGCTTTGTGGCTTTCAAGACAACAATACGATGTCTCTGTGGGATTCTGTAGTGCTGATGCAGGCTCTCGTTCTCTCACCGACCAAGACCATATTGCTTCTCTTTCTGTGTTTGCTCTCCTCTCTCTCCTCCCTTCGTTTCCTCCTTTCCTCTCTTTTCTCTCTCCTCTGCTCTCTTCTCTCTCTCTCTCTCTCTCTCTCTCTCTCTCTCTCTCTCTCTCTCTCTCTCTCTCTCTCTCTCTCTCTCTCTCTCTCTCTCTCTCTCTCTCTCTCTCTCTCTCTCTCTCTCTCTCTCTCTCTCTCTCTCTCTCTCTCTCTCTCTCTCTCTCTCTCTCTCTCTCTCTCTCTCTCTCTCTCTCTCTCTCTCTCTCTCTCTCTCTCTCTCTCTCTCTCTCTCTCTCTCTCTCTCTCTCTCTCTCTCTCTCCACACCCTTCCTCTTTCTCCCTGCTGTGTGTATCTCTCTGTGTGCTTCTCTTTCGCTTAACACACTGAGGTCCTTCTTAATTGCAAAGACTGACTTTGCGCAGAATCAAGTATTTTATGGAAACTGCCTGTAGCAGCTGTTACAACCAGAAAGGCTAAACTTTTCCGTTATTTTTCTTCTTCTTCTTCCTTCTTTCTTCCAGGATTTCAACTTAGTTATCCAGCGCCACGTACATGTATAGTTGGAAGCGTGATCCTTCTCCTCTTTGGAATCACAACCCACATGCACTGTAGGTGTGACCATACCAAACCGCAAGTGGAACTTTCTGAACCTGAAATGATCTTAGTTTTAAAATGTCTTACTCCTTTTGCCCTAACCAACTTTATGCGTTTTTTTTAATCACGATAGGAAAAAAAATCAAAAAGCAAGAACAGGTAATACATATTGATGTAAGTTAAGTGGAATACCATGTAAAGGTATCTCAAGAAACCGTGAGCTGGTCTTTCAGTGGTTCAGTTCATGTGTATAAGTTAAGTGCATGGCCCTTAAACAGACAGTCTCCATGCTCCACTGTTTCTCTGAGGGCGATGGACAAGGTAGTCCTCACGGCCTCAGCTAACACCGATGTGTAATTTCTCGCAGATGATCATAGGCAGTTTGGCTGATACTCTGGGAAACATCTCAAATGGAATTTGAGCCCAGGTCATCTTGAGCCAGATTGTTTACTTTTGCAGAGGATCGATGCATAGAAAAGAGATTTATTCAAATTCATTCGGGGAGAAACCTAGATTTTTCTAATAGCCTTGTGCTTAGTTTGCATTATATTTCAGTTAAATTATCAAAACATCTGAATTTTACATAACATTTAATTAAAACAAGTTGGGAAACATATATATATGTATATATATAGAGAGAGTATGCATATATCAATCTATTATCTATCTATACATATAGATATATAGATATATAGATATTATATATAGAATGTGAATGAGTGTGCTAGTTCTCAATTTCTTCATATGGATCCACAGGCACTACAAATTTAATGCATTTTTGATTAGTATGGTAATGAATTTTGGTAGAGAAAGAAGTTTGGCTAGAATACTACAAAACAATCATGTTTCAACTAGAAATGAAAATTAAGCTCATATGCCTGGTCATAACATAGTTGAACTTTCCTAGTTAGATTCCAATTTTCAATTTGCAATAAAGCTTTAAACATAGTATTATTTTGTAAGGTCATTTAGCATATTCACAAGATTCAGAAAATACCTCTTTTGCCTTTGGCAGGTGCTTAAACCTGGGGTCTTAACATGGTAAGAATTTGGGCAATCATTGAGCCAAACCCTTAGCCCTGGAGAAGGTTTGCATAACTGTGGAAACTAGGTTATACTTATTCATTAAAGCTATAAACTTTGAGCCAAAAATTGAAAGGCAATTGATTTTTTTCTTAATTAAAGAGTCATTAATGAAACCTTTTCAGACTAATTAAGAACAATGCCATAGTTTTATTTTAGTCTTGTTACAAAAAAAAAAAAAAGAAAGAAATTTCTGTGGGGAGTCAATCCAAATATTCGCTACTGGTAAGAATGTTTTTGCTAGAAAAACCATGGATTTAGTTAGAATGCCCGTCAAAGGAAAGTTAAAAGAACCCCAAAGTTGTTAATAGATTTTGACTTGCAGCTTACATTCAATAGTATGGGCCGACCGATGCCTTGCTTAATACAAGTCTCAGTCTCATTAAAGCTCATTAGAAACTTAAAGGTTTTTATTAAGAATGCTAAATCTTGGGGGTTGGAGAGATGGCTCAGAGGTTAAGAGCACTGTGTGTTCTTCCAGAGGTCCTGGTTCAATTCCCAGCAACTACATGGTGGCTTACAACCACCTATAATGATATCTGATGCCTTCTCCTGTTATACAAGTATGTACACAGATACTGTATGCATAGTAAATAAATATTTAAAAAAAGAATGCTAAATCTTTTCCCCAAGGAAGCTGTGCAAGTTTGAAGTCAGTTCTCTTCTAAGGGTCTTAAAGGGAGCCCTCGGGTGCTTCTAGCAAGGACACAGAAACCGAAGGCTGACTGAATGTCCAAGGTCCCTCAGTTTGGTAGATTATCAGTGTCAGGGACAAAGTACTGGTCCTGGGGCCTTCTCTAAGTTATCAGTGGTGCGGTCAATCAGTTTTGGCAGCATGAGGCATAAAAGCTTGAAAACAGACCCCCCCCTTCTCCGTAGTGCAAACGGTTCATAAGCAGTATTTGAAGATGCTCTTATTGCACCACTAAGCTGATGGAAAGGTGAAGGGGAACTTCAGAAGCCAAAGGAACTAGGGGAAGCCAGAGACTCAGAAAGGTAAGAGCTGGAAGGATGTTCTACAGAAGGCTTGTCAAACTTGAGTGACCTGGAGTTTGTTTTGCTTTGTTTTGTTTTTAACAGGACTTGCAGGACCCAAGGACGTCACCCTGAGCGTCATCCTAAGCAAGGTGATGACCCACGTCAAGCTGGACAGGAGAAGAAACACCCTCGGTGGTGTAAAGGTGAGCTACAGACAAAATCCTCACTGCACTTCCCACCCCTCCCCCACTGAGCACAGTTGTGTGTTGTGAGTCCTCTACTTGGCCAGCATTTCCAGAGAGCTCAAAAACTGCCACACGACTGCCAACGTGTGGGGTTTTTTGTTTGTTTGTTTGTTTTGTTTTCTCATCTCTGTAGTTCCCTACAAAATTTTCAGGGACTTATTTACATGATCAGGTCAAACTGTAGGTGGTTGCATGTTGGATTGAGTAGTCCTGAGTTTAAAGGTTTGTGATAAAGGGATCTCAGGGAGGCTGTTGAAGCTAAAGACTGGGTTGCCGTCACTTGACTTTCCCTCTGGGAAATGCTTAGCATGAATTGGTCATGAAACAAAACCATAGCCGGTGGGCCATCTGGCCCCACGAGAAGGACCAGTGAAGCTGAGGAAAGAAGAGATAAGTCAGTCTAAGCGTTTTAAAGTTACCTATAAAAAGTGTGCTTATGATACAGGACAGCGGCAAGACGGGAGAGGGACGGTGTTTGAGACACGGGATTCTAAAGTCCAGCTTACGTTGTTGGAATGGGAGAGAATGATGTTATTTTAGACCTTATCATGTATACACGTAGAGGTTACACATTTGGCATTAAAAAGGTAAAATAAAAAAAATGACTGTGTAAGGCCGAGTCTCACAGAAATGAAGAACTAGAATTAAAGGAGAGTCAACCTAAAAGAACGTGGTGAGGAAACATTTAATATTAGAGAAGAACGCACGAGAAGTGCAAAGAAGAGTGGTAAAAATAATGTAGACACATCCATTGCAGAGGTTGTAAAATAATAATCTAAGCACGTCCATTGCAGAGACTGTAACTGGACAACATTTCCAGTTGGAAGGCAAGGAATAGGCTCACATGAATTTACCTGCTTTATTTAAAAGAGATATGGCTTGATGTCCTGATCCATACCTTTGATTTGAGCACTCTGGAGGCTGAGGCAGGCAGATGGCTATGAGCTCAAAGCTAACCTGATCTACATAGTCCCAGACTAGGCAGGGCTGTATAATGAGAACCTGTCTCCATAGTAATAATAATAATAATAAGTTAAAAGGAGAGATTCTTTAAAATAAGGCTACAGTATGACCGAATGTGAAATGATAGAAATATAGAAATAGATAACTCAAGTATGTCTAACTAAGGACTGTTCTTTCCATATTCTAATGAGACAAGAATAAACTAAAAATTCACTCTTGCCCAGTTGTAGCTA